GGCGTACCGACCCCAGGAGGCGGCGTTAACAGAGGCCCCCACCACTGAGGTTCTATCCGAAGTCGTGGCAGGTGAGGTTAGGGGGCCTCCCGACACCATCCGAGATACCTCCCGGGGCCCTCTCGTAGGCTCGGGGCAAGCTAGAACGGCCGCCCGAGCGAAGGCAGCTCGAGAGCGCCTGGTTGAGCAGAGGCGGGCACAACGTGGTGCATTGGCCGGGAACATGGAGGACCCCGACTTGGCACCTTATGCCAACATGCAAGCCGCGGCTACAGGCCCCGCCAAAGTCCTGGGACAGAATCTACAGGTTCTAACCCAGATCCTGGACTCCCAGCAGCAAATGATGGACAGGCAACAAGACTGGCTCTAGCACAGCCTAGCATCCTTCAAGATGCCGAAAATGACCAAAGATGATGACCCGGAGGCCTGCATCGAAGCGTTTGAGCGGCACGCCCTCATGACGGGGCTAGACCAGGGCTATTGGGTTAGCCAGTTGGGAGCCCTAGTCGTTGGAAAGGCCCAGGCCGCATATCGGGCCCTCTCGAGGGAGGATGCCCGGGACTATGAGTTAGTGAAGCAAGCCATCCTGTATAGGCTGAAATCAACCCGGAGCACTACCGTTGCATGTTCCGGGCCAAGAAGGGACCTGACGAGAGGCGACCCAGAGTGCTGCTACAGTTATTGAGGGATCTGCTAATTAAGTGGGCAAACCCAGCCGGGCAGGATCAAGAAGCCCTGGCAGACCAAATTGTTCTCGAACTATTCCAAAACGATCTGGACGAACGGACACAACGCTGGGTCCAGCAACACACCCCACTGACCTGCGAGGAAGCCCTAAAGCTGGCGGAGGCGTTCACGGCCTCAGAGGCCAGCTACCCCCGAGAGAGAAAGAGCCCAGGATACTCCCCGGTGGACCTCAAAGAGCCGGAACGCCGGCGCCCGCCAGGCCGGGGGGCTACCAGGGAGACTGCGTGCTTCCGGTGCGGGCGGAACGGCCATTTTTCCAGGGAATGCCCAAACCAGGTAGTGGGGCGCTGGATCCCCACCG